TTAGTTTGACAGTCTAAGGGAAAAGAGGTCACTGCCCAACTAAATAGCCAGGGATTGCATGTTTTTAAAATTCTTGTGGCACACTAGTTGAAAATCGCTGATGTGTAGTAGCAATTCTTCTTTGTAAGCCTCAACTTGTTGGCAATGGACTGTGTGGAAATGGTAGGGTAAATAAACCAACAGAACAAAAAGTGAAATAGGACATGATCCACACACCCACTCCACAACTTGCCCTCATGCAAAGGATCAGTTGTCCACTGAGGGAAATGTTTCCCGGAATTCTAAGGGATGGCCAGATGTGAAGTCAGGAAAACCCACGGTGTACCTTAAGGCCGTGGGAGTACTAGAACACTAGCAGGAGGGTTCTGCCCCCAACCCCAAAGTTTCCTTCATGTATGTTATAGGAGAAAGTTTACCTTTGAAGGCGCTATAGGAAAGGGGGAAGCTAGTTCCCCTTCTGGTTGCAAAATAGATGCAGCTGTTCCAAGCATCATATCCAGAAATAACATCTAGAAGAAAAGAGGCAATTGTGTAGTCTCTTTCTTAAAAGTAGGAAAATTCTTCCCAGCATTTGTCAGCACTGAATAACATACCCAATTCTGAACAAGACACTGACAAGGGGAATAAGATTGTATTGAACAAGATCAGTGATTCTCAGTCTTGGCTGTGTGTTAGAACTACCTGAGAGTCTACTTCCTGCGTGTGTCCCATACCAATTCAATTAGAATTACTAGGAGTAAGACCCAGGCATTAGAATTTTTCAAAGATCCTTAAGTGATTCCAATTTGCAAACAAATCTTGGAACTACTGGCCAACGCCTTCTTGTGCCCCAACCAATAACATTTATAATACCTGGAAACTTCTAGGAAATACAAAACTCCATTGTTGAAGACCTAGTTAATCAGAAACTCTGAAGGTCTGGCCCATTAATCTGTGCTTTGCAAAGCTCTTCAGATGATTCTGGTACACACGAGAGTTTGAGAACCATTGGCCTAGAGTAACTGGATTTGACCCTGAGCTGCAGTTATGGCTACCTTTTCTGAAGCATTGATGAACAAAACTAGCAAGGAACCAGGAGTGGAAGAACATGAGCAGATAATAGTTTTAGCTATAAGCATTCTCATTCACTTAAAACTTTTTAGTACGAATTTATTTCAAGTTTATAGAAGAGTTGTAATAATTAAAGAACTAGTATGTCTTTACCGCAAATCACCTTTTAGCATCCTCTCATTCTCCCTATACACGCGCGCACACACACACGCGCGCACACACACACACACACACTTTTGAGAGCTCGTGCATATTCATTTCCTTTTACTTCTTAATACTTTACACAAAGAACCCAGACATTCTTTTATATAACCACATTAGAGTTATCAAATTCAGTAAATTTATCATTGACACAATACTTTAATCTGTAGTACATAGTCCAATTTGTCAATTGTTAATAGAGCAATTTTTTTCCTTTACAGGATCTAGTGCAGTATCATGTATTGCATTTAGTTGTAATGTCTTCTTAGTCTTTTTAAATCTATTACAGATCCTTAAACTTTTTTTTTTAATGACATTGACATTTTGGACTTCTCATTCACCTATGTGATGGTGTAAACAACCAGTCTATTTTGCCATCCAGGAGACATTTAGAAATTTCTGGAGACATTTTTGGTTGTTAAAACTGGAAGGGCTGGAGATGGATGACGATGTTGGTTATACAACAATAGGAATGTACTTAATGCGACTGAAATATATACTTACACATAGTTAAAATGGTATATATTATGTATATTTTACTACAATGAACAGAGAACACTGGGAGAGGGGCGTGTAGTGGATACAGGCCAGGAATGCTGTTAAACACACTGCAATATACATGATAGACTTCTGTAACACAGAATTATCCAATCCAAAAGGTCAATAATGGCAAGGTTGAGAAATCCTGGTGTAAATTCTAACACAACCATTAGTTAAAGGCTATTAAATTTGTATAAATGTGTATTGAGCAAACCAGGAATGTATTCTAGGGACATGTAATATGATTAGTGAACAATGATGTATGCACAAAAACTTTTATTGCAGTATTGTTTATCATAAAGATAATTTTAAAATAACTTAAATGTCCATCAAAAATAACAATCGTTAAATTAATATGGAGTACATCATATAAAAGAAAACTATGCACCGATCTTTAAAACATTAAGAAAAACTTTTAGGTGTAAACTTGGGAAGATGTCTATGATACATTCAGTAAAACAAAAAGTTTAGAAAATAATATAGTATATATCTCCCCAGTGCTTTAAAAATGATCAGCATCTATATAAAGTTTTCAAACTCTTGAAGGATATATGCCAAACTGTTAACAATGATTATCTCTGAAGGGTAGTATTAGAGAGAAACTTCTCTAGATTGTTGGAATCGTGTATTATCAGAAAGATGCTGACATTAAAATACAGCAATGAGTTCAATATCCAGTAATTAGTTATTAATTAAGTAATGACTGGCAATATTCAACAAAAGGCAAAGCTAGGAGTCCTATGGGGAGAATTTGGTACAGCATCAGCAACGATCGCCATCCCTCAAAATCCCAAGGATTTCCCCATTTAACCTTCTGAACTAGAGTGGACTGTCTTGTGCATGAAGGAAATGGAAAGTTTTGAAATCTCTGACTCATTCAAAACCATTGAAAGCATCTATCTGCTCTTAGTCACATTGTATTGTTGGCCTCTGACCATTAATTAGTAATTTTATATTTGACTGCAGAAGCTTAGGGTATCTTAAAAGGCAAGTTGAAAAATTACAATGGCAAATTACAATTACACTAAAGCAATGTTTTCCAAAGAGTAAGTTAAGATCCATTCATGAGTCATTGAAATAATTTACTAGGTTATGACCAACTTACAAAGAACAAGACAGATAAAATCAAATAAAATAGAATAGAAAACTGTGAGTGTACTGGGTCTGGATAAAAAAATTGTTTCCTTATGTGGGTTGTGATTTAAAAAAAACATGAATGTTACTGCATTATGTACTTAAAAAGTATATTCTTATACAGAGGACCGGGGTTAGGAGAGTCATTTTTTTTGATAATTTAAAGTTGTTTTCAATGTCACATCTTTTGATATTTCTATTTAAGTTGGCATTTTCAATGTCCTATGTATCTGAAAATTACTTTTTAATATTGGAGAACTAAACTCAACAGATTTTACAAGTCACAAGTGAAGACAAGTTTGACTTTTATAATTAATATAAAATGAATTCAGTATCACATCCTATTTTAATAATGCAGTTTTAAGGAATTTAAAGTTTATACCTTTTCTTATTTCCCCTTTATGGGAGTCCTATTGAGAATCTCATGCTATTTTTGCCTTAATCCAAATTAAGTTATAATATAGCACATTGTTAATAAATTAACATTTTGTAATATTATATTTTGAATTTAAAAAAACAGTGCCATCTGGTGCTTATTTTGAGCATCTTCATGTCTTGGGTATTCATCTAAGAATATAATTGCATGTGGCTATCCAGTAGCTGGGAGCACATGTTTAACTTTTTGAGGAACTGCAAAACTGTTTCCCAAAGTGGCTGTGCCACTTTACGTCCCCACCAACAATGTACAAAGGTTCCAATTTTTCCACATCATGGCCAACACTTTCCATCTTTTCTATTATAAACATACTATAGATGTTAAAGTGGTGTCTCATTTTGGTTTTGATTTGCATTTCCCTAATAACTAGTGCTGTTGGGCATCTTTAAGTGTGCTTGCTTGCCTTTTGTATAACTTCTTTGGAGAAATGTCTATTCAGATCCTTGCCTATTTTTCAATCAGGTTGTTCATCTTTTGTTGCTTAGTTAAGAGTTCTTTATACATTCCGGATACTAGACCTTATCAGACACTTGATTTGCAAATATTTTATATACTCTGTAAGTTGTCCTTTCACTTTTTCCAGTGGTGAGTTTCTTCATTGAACAGCCCCTATCGACATTTCCTAAAAACACTTAATGTTTAAAATAGTCTAAAGTTCCCATTAGCTACTTCTTATTCCTCCTTTGTAGTCAGAGATCTTGTCCTTTTTGTCTTACTGTATCTCCAGTGAGCAGCACATATAAGTAATTTCCTCCTGAGTACCTAAGCGCCATATCATGGAGAACAAATTCAAATGTCTATGGGAGACTGGCAAGTGATACGAGTAAATAGAACTATTAGGGGCTTGTAAATAAGTGGGGAACATACTCCTAGAGAAAGTTTCTTTAGTCTTCATAAAGAACCTCCTCATAATCAATCCTTTCTACCACTTCACAGTACTAAGCAATTCAAATCTACCTAAAAATATGCCAGTCTTTAGTTCATTAGAGTAGCTGAATTATGTCCAAGGTATACTACCAAAAGCAACACTGGACCCCAGAATTAACCTTATTCCAGCACTGAGTTTGGGATTTGCCTCGCTATCAGCTAGGAGAAGAAAAACCAGAGTTAACTGACTTCTTTGACTCAACTATTGCAAAGAGCTCTGATCCAGAAGCTGCCCCTCACCAGTGCTATTTACAGACCTAGGAGCTTGGGTCGGCTTTCGTCGAGATTCAGTGCGAGAGTCGAAATGCGCTCTGTCTGGCTTCTGGCAGAAAGTGAGTATCTGCGACGAAAAGCATTCCTAAAGGGAGCCTCCAAGGAAAGCCGCCAGCCCAGGTTTGAGCGTGGCGGGAGGGTCGACTGAAAAGCCGCATTTCAGCTCACGAAGTCTCTAAAGCACGACTCAAACGGCAACCCTGCTGGCAAGGGAACGCAGTGCTGTGACGAGCAACCCATTACAGGCAGGGAAAAGGCAAACGTAACCGCGGACGCTCCCTGTAATCTAGACACGCACGGGATACCGATTGTCGATGCACAGCCCACGAGAGGGGCGGGGCTGAGTTGCCTTTTACCGCCCTTGCGCAGTTCAACGGTTTCCAGGGCCAGCCAGAGGGTGGCCAACAGCGTGCGCAGGCGCACTCAGGAACCTCCGGCTGCTTCTGGAGCCCGTTCTCCGCGTTCCTCGGGGCGGGTCCTCGGGGGCGTTGTCTGGGGCGGAACTAAATGCGGATGGAAGAACCTCTTCGCACTACCTGCCAGCTGCTGCACTTAAGCCACCGACCTTCATCTACCGAAGTCATGTTACCCAATACAGGGTAAGGGCTTGGGGTCGCCACAGTGAAAGATCGGGTCGGGTGGTGTAAGTCTGCGTGGATGGTCTGGCGAGGCCTGGCGGGAGTGGGAGGGTTAATGAATCTCCTCCACGCTGGACGCGGTGTTCCTAGAACTACGTTAACGCGTGAGAAGTAACCCAAAGTAGTGTATGTCCGGGTGGCAGCCGTATAAAAACCTTTTCCACGGGTAAAGGATCCAGAGTGGGTTACCCCGCCGCCCGTAGCGCGGGCCCCATCTGGGATTGAGCTGTGGCTGCCTGTCTAGGAGACACGCAAATTCTAGGTGAAAGGTCACTGGAACACTTGTTTACCTCCTGAGTGTTCTCTTGTTCTGAACACTCATTCTGGAATAATGAAATAGTGGCGTATTTAAAAAGTGATTTTCAAAATTAGTAACAAACAAAGCTCACCTTAGAGTATAGGTATTTTATGGGGAACTTTTTTCACTTTAAAAAGATTTTTAATTGTGGTAAAATACACTACAAAATTTGACATTTTACCATTTTTAAGTGTAGTATAATTCAGTAGTGTTAAGAATATTCACACTGTTATGCAGCCAGTCTACAACTTTTTCAACTTTGAAAACTCGGCCTATGCCTCTTAAACATCTCTTGTCCTCTTCCTCCCAGTGCCTGGCAACCAGTGTTCGACTTTGTTTCTGTGAAGTGTGGGTCTATTGAGCTGAGTGGCATGTCCGATATGTAATTTACTTGAAACATACAAACCCATGGCCAAAAGACCTAAACAGCTCAAACTTTTGAGTGTCACTTGAAGTGATTTTTTGTCGTCCTTCTGTTGCTCTCTGGTATTTTTTCCAAAGATATTATGTTCATTTATAAATATATTTGTATATCACCCTGAATACACACCACATTTAAAATTTTTTATTACATTTATTGGAGTGGCATTGGTTAATAAGATTATGTAAATTTCAAGTGTATTCTATAATCATCCTCTGTGTATTGGCATTGCACACACCATTTTTAATGGTAGCAAACTCTCTTCTGGGCCTTGCTGTTTTTTCCTAATTTGACTTAGGACACACATATTAAGTGCATGTAGCCCTTCTTCCCTTTTAATGGTTCCATAGCTATTGAGGTACCATAATTTATTTAATCAGTTCCCTACCATTGGACACCAGATCATTTCTAATTTTTTTTGTTACTCCATCTTTGCTGCAAAGATTATCCACGTATTCATCTGTTTGTACATGTTTGAATGTATCTCTATGATACATTCCTGGAAGTGAGGTTGCTGGATCAAAGAGTATATACCCTTTAAATTTTGATAGCTAATACTATCAAAAAGGTTGCACACCCAAAGGGGTGAATGAGCTTTCCTAATCCAACATGTTGACAAACAGCAGAATGTTTGAGAATAAAAATGAGGGGGGGGGGCGTTACTGGTGTCTAATGGATGGAGTCCAGGGATGCTGGAAGCACCTTTTAACATCGGTAGTGCAGAGAGTTAGTGAGAAGTCCTGGTTTAAAGCCATTTTTGTATCTTTTTTTTTGCCTGCCTTATACAATAAGGTTTTTGATCTCTGAGAGCTCTAGTTTAAAAAATTTGTTCTGTCATATGTGTCACAAACATTTTTCTCAGTATTTTTTTCTGTGTCTTGACTTTGACTACACTATTTGTCATGCAGATAGGTGTTTACGGAGTCAGAGTTACCAGTCTTTCCTCTGTTAAGTTTTTTGTGTTTTTGTGCAAACCTCCAAGGCCATCTTAAATCAAGATTTTTTTTTAATAATAGGTATTATCTAGTGTTTTTATGTTCGGAGGTTTTCTTTGGCTCTCAAATTTTTCATCTGCTTGAGATGAAATGCTGTTTTGCATAGGCTTTTGGCACAGGAAGTGAGTTACGAAGCCCACATCATTTTGGTTCAGCAGGCTGGCTACAGTTGACCCAGCACTGCTGACGGACTAGTTACCTTTTCCTTTCTGTTAGAAACTCCACCTCTATCTTATAGTGAATTCTTGTATGTATAGGGATCTGATTCTTTTTATTTTATTTTATTACTTTAATCTGTCTCTACATGCACCAAGTACCAAGCCATTTTAAATACTGTATTTTTATAAAATGTTTTAATATCTTGGAAGGCTAGTTCCCACCTCATTCAGATTTTTTTTTTCAAAATCTTCCTGGTAATTTTTGAATGTTTATTTTTCAAAATAAACTTTAAAATAGCTTGTGTAGTTTCTTTTTCTTTAAAAATCCTTTCAAATTTTATCACCATTATTCTGATTTTCAGATATCAGAGAATTTTGGTAAATTGTAGTGTAGTTTATTTCTACATTAGCAAATTTTAGCCATCTATGTACTGAGAAATTTTCCTTCCCTCCCTCCCTTTCTTCTTTTCCTTATTTCCATTTATGTAATGAGGATCCCCTGCCAACCCCTAGGTTCTAATGCCTTAAAAGCTGGAGGAGTTCCTTAGACCCAGGGTTCATGTTAAGAGAAGCTGCTTTTGCCTTTCTTTCAGCAATGCCTGAGACTCTGAATGAGTAGGAAGATGTCTTTTGTTCTACTGAGAATCAATCTAGCTAGACTGGAGGCGAAGAGAAAGGGCTTTTCAAGCAATAGTTGGGACATGATAAACTTTGAATATGCGTAGGTACTGAATGACATAGAGCAATTGCTGTTAATTTTTTTTAACTGAAATAATGACATTGCTATGTAAAAGTTAAAGTGCATATTTAGAGGTGAAATTATATGACCTCTGAGATTTGCTTTCTGATAATTACTCCAGATTTTGATGATTGTTGAATTGTTAAACACGGGAGCTATTTTCTGTATAATTCTAATGATGTAGAATGACATCTAAGGACATCTAATGATGTCCTTAAATGTCTTTGCACTGATTGTTTATTAGTTGTAAAGAATAGTAATTATACAGTGGAGAAATAATAACATGATTGGATGATCAAAATTAATATCACCATAAGTACAGGTGGACATTGTGTACTTCCAGGTGTGATACATTGTTGACACTGTATTTCATATTCTGGCTGGGAATAAATAACCTGAGTCTTTGATGAGGACATAACAGCTGAATCCAAAGTGGGAAGCATTCATTTTAAAAAATGAGTGGCACTACATTCTTCAAAAAGTCAATACATATCATAAAAGATAAGAGAGGTTGCAATAATGCTCTAGATTAAAGAATACTGAAGAGCTATGACAACTAAATGGATTATCTGGTTCTCAACTGGTTCCTGTACTGTAGGGCAAAAATTACTCTACGGGCATTATTGCATCCATTGACAAAATTGAAACATTGCCAGTATGTTAGATAAAAGTAGGTATTATATCAGTGTTACAGTTACTGAAGTTGATAATTCTGCAGTGATTATGTAAAATAACAGGCGATAACATGACATTCAACTTACATTTAAGTAGTTTGAAAAAATAAGATATACAGAAAGAGAAGGGGAGAGAGAAAATGAGCATAAATGCTAAAGCAGGGGGTAAAATGTTAACAGTGTATGAATCTGGGCAAAGGATATATGTGTTTTCTTTGCACTATTCTTGCAACTTCTTAGAAATCATTTACATGGGGGAAAATGGCAACAACTGTAATTGCATGACAATTAAAAAAAAGGGAAAATATTTACAAATAAAAAGTTAAAAAGAATGATGTACCTAGGAACGAAGCCAGCAAAAGATGTATAATACCCTTTTTAGAAACTTGTACAATTCATTGAAAGACTAAAGAAGACTTAAATAGAGAAGGATACCATGTTCATGGATTGGGGCACTCATTGTCTAAATATGTCAGTTCTCTCCAAATTAAATTATAGATTCAACACAATATCTATCAAAATTCCAACTGATTTTGCTTATGTAATTAGCTAAGCTGATTCTAAAATACATGTGGAAAAGTAAAGATTCAAGTATAGCCAAGAAACTCTTGAGGAAGAACAAATGGGAAGTATTTGCCTTATTAGTTACTGTGGGGAGGGCTCCACCCACAGCCCCTGCTCTGCCCACCCCCCAGTCTGCCACTGGTGAGAATAAGTCTACCAGCACACGATCTGCTTGGGAAGTAAAGGTGGACAGTCTCTCAAAGGAGAAGGGCCTTGAGCCTGTTTCAGTGGGCTTTTATTTGTTTCAGCTTGCACAGGAATACAGGTAAAGCTCATCAATCAGTGTCTGGCAGTAATGATCAAACAATAGACAATACTCAAAGAACTTTGAGAGCTTATTCTGAGTCAGGGTCAGATAGCCAAAGGGCCATAAAATTTTGGGAAACAAACTCATTTTATGCTTGTACCCTTATCAGAATATTGAGGGCATTCTTAGCAAAGCAGATTTCACAGGATTTTATGCACTCTTTCTTAGTCCTGATCGCCCCAGGGAACCACCTGTTCCTGCCCTAGGCTGTACTGCCCTCTGGCATTGTTTCGGGTTGAAGTCAGGCAGGGGAAGTAAGGCAGCCAAGAGATTAGGAGACTTCTTGCAGACAGAATGAGAACTCAGGCTATGTCAAAGCGGAGGGCGAGGATCCATTACCCCCTTTTTCTGTAGCCCTCCGAGTCCTTCCCTAATGGCTCCATTGTGACCATGCCTGTCTTAGGTCATCCCTCCCTTGAGGAATCTTACCCGTCATTGGCTAACCAGTCATCAGCCTGGGTCTAAGCAGGGTGAAGTAGAAGGGGGCATACGCAGTGCCCCTGCCAGGAAGATAAGCTTTGTCTCCTTAGTGGCTTAAGGTCCCAAGGTCCTTTACTCAGCCTTAGCCATGGGGGGGATTACAGCTTCTGAAACCAGGCAGGGCAGTTCCCGACAAGTTATCGGGACTGAGAAAGCTATTGTAATTAAAACACTGTGATTTTTGTGAGCCATCAGAACAGAAAAGAAAGCCTAGAAATAGATCTATGTATTTTTGGATATTTAGTCTCCAGCAAAGCTGGTGCTGAAGAACTGTGAGAAAGATGGACTTTTCAGACTGGGACAGTTGGTTATTCCTATGGGAAAAATGTGATTGGATCCCTACCTTAATTCATATTTAAAAATCTAGGTAGATTAAAGATTAACATTTAAATGGCAAACCATAAAACTTTTGAAAGACAGCAATGGTTTATTATTAGTCACAGTTTTTGGGGTTGAGTGGTTTCTTTTGCTCTATGTAAGTTAAGGTCATTCATATGGCTACATTTAGCTGAGTCCTTGGCTGGGGCCAAACTGTTCTAAAAGGCATCTCGCCCGCAGGTCCTCTCTCTCATGGCTTCTCATTGCATAGTAATCTGTCCCTGTTCTTGGCAGCATGGCATCTGGCTTCCAAGAGAGAAAAAGTGGAAGCTGTCAGTTATCTATAGCCTGGGCTTGGAAATCCCAGAATATTACTTTCATCACATTGTTTCTTAAAAAAAGGTCATCAGGCTACACCATACTCAAGGGGAGGTGGAAAATATGCTGCTCTGGTGGAAGGAATGCCGAAGGGTGTTTGGCCATGTTAAATCCACAACAATGTCCTTTAATCCAGCAGTTTCACCAGTAAATACATATGCCCTAGAGAAACTCTTACACAAGCAATGGGAAGAAGTGTACAAGGATATTTGTTGCACTGTGGGGAAGAGTGTAGTAGTTTCCTAGGGCAGCCATAACAAAGTACCATGAAGTACTTTGAATGAAGGCCAAAAGCCTGAAGTCAAGTAATCGCCAGGGCTATGAACTCTCTGAAATTCTGGGTAGACAAATATTAGTATAGTAGTGACCGTTAGTATAGTCACACAGTTGTACAACCATCATGGTAATTAATTTAAAATTTTTTATCAATTATCTTACCCCAAAAGAAACTCCACAGCCCTTAGCTGTCAGCCCCCGATACCTCCCACGCCCAGCTCTAGGCAGCCACTAATCTTTGTGTCCTTATAGGTTTGTTTATTTTGGACACATCAGTGTAAGTGGAATCATACAATTGTGGTCCTTTGTGACTGGTTTTTTTCACCTAGCATAATGTTCTCAAGGTTCATCCATGTTGCAGCATGGATTAGTACTTCATTTATTTTTATTGCTGAATAAATTCCACACTAAGGATATACCACATTTTATATATCCATCCATCAGTTGATTGACATTTACATTTTTTCCACTCTGGCTACTATGAATAGTGATGAACATCATTGAACAATTATTTGCTTTTAGATAGTTTCTTTTAAGTGGTATGCATTTATTGTGGAAAAGTTGAAAAATGCCAAAGAATATGAAAAATATGATAGCCCTTGCTGGTATGGATCATTGGTTGGGGGGTTTTCCTATAAACCAAAAGGTCACCAGTTTGATTCCTGGTCAGGGCACATGCCTAGGTTGTGGGTTTGGTCTTTGATTGGGATGTGTATGAGAGACAACCAATCGATGTTTCTCACATTGATGTTTCTCTCCCTCTCTCTCTTCCTCCCTTCTCTCTATCTAAAATTAATAAGAATATCCTTGAGTGAGTATAAAAAAATGATAAAATTTGTTCATAATCCTATCACTTAAAAATAAGCTTTATCAGTACTTTTAAAAAAAATAATACATGTTTATATAGTTTATTAACTTCCCATTTCTCTTTGAGATTTACTTTTCATTTGAGCAGATTTTGTTTGCCAAATCACTGCAAGACTGGCCAACACCAGTTGTAATAAATAATTTCTAAATCATGTACAGTGGGAGTACAGTAGAGTTACTAGCTAATCAGAAGGGGAAGGAGGAAGTTTCACAGAGGAAGAAACGTGCATTGCAAAAACATGCATATGTTTCTTATACTGGTAAGTAAATAGAACATTGAGGTTTCTAATAAGGTCACATTTGTTCTGTTGTAGGAAGCTAGCAGGAGCTACAGTTTTTATCACAGGGGCAAGCCGTGGCATTGGCAAAGCTATTGCATTGAAAGCAGCAAAGGATGGAGCAAATATTGTCATTGCTGCGAAGACCAGTCATGCACATCCCAAACTTCCAGGCACTATCTATACTGCTGCTGAAGAAAGTAAGTGAACACGACAGTGCCATTTCATGAAATGTCCTCACCATGATGTCACTATGTAGGGAATTTGCTGGAGAGTTTACTTATAGGTATTTGAAAGCTACCCTAAAAATAATTTTATCTGCTTAAAGTATTTTGTCACCTTAGGCAGTGATTGGTAACTAACTGTTTTTCTCCCCCAGCACTTTTGAGTGATATGAGAGACTGCCATTGAAACTCATGTCTCATGGGCAGCGGTTCTTTGATCTGAGCAGAGAATGGGGAGTGGAAATAGAGAAGAATGTGACAGGTGGATGATGTGAACACTCTGAAAATACTCTCCATGTTTTTATTCCCTATACCACTTGCAAATCATTAACACTTCCACTTAACAAATTATTATCGAGTGCTTATAGTCAAGGCATTGTGCCAAGCACAGTACCTGGAGGGGGAGCTCAAAAATTCAGCTTAGTTGAGATTGCTGGTTCCCTTAGTTATGTTAATAGCATTGTGGCTATGTTAGGGGAATACCTATGAAGTATCGATAAGCGAAGTGGTGTCTGGGATTTGTTTTAAAATACATCAGCAAAAAACAAAACAGGGTTGGACATACATAAATCAAACTGGCTACACATTAACAATCATCGAAGATAGATAGGTGATAGATTCGTGGTAGTTCATTATACTATTTTGTATATTTAATAATATTAGACTTCCGCCAAGATGGAGGAGTAGGTGGAAGCACTGCACCTTCTCGCACAACCAAGTTTAAAAATAACAAAGTTTTAGCAACAAAAACACAGCCAAACCACTGAAAATTGAACTACATGGAAGTCCGACAACAACCAAGATTGATCTATCCAGCAAAGCTTTCATTTAGAATGGAAGGGCAGATAAAGCGCTTCTCAGATGAGGTCAGATTCAAGGAGTTCATCATCACCAAGCCCTTATTATATGAAATGTTAAAGGGACTTACCTAAGAAAAAGAAGATAAAAAAAGATCAACAGTGAATAGAACAACTGTAACAGCATAATCAATAAAAAAATTAAAAAAAAAGATCAACAGTGAAAGGACAGCAAACTCACAGTTATTAAGAACTACACCTAAAACAAAAGCAAACTAAGAAGACAGCTAGATCAGGAGCAGAACCATAGAAATGAAGATCACATGGAGGGTTAGCAATAGGGGAGTGGGAGAAAGGTGGAGAAGGTACAGAAAATAAGTAGCATAGATGGTAGGTAGAAAATAGTTAGGGGGGAGGGCCAGAATAGTAGGGGAAATATAGAATCTAAAGAACTTGAGACATGTGGTCATAAACTAAAGGGGGGGATGGGGGGAGGGGATGTGCAGGGTGGAGGGGAATGAAGGGGGAAATAGAACAACTGTAATGGCATAATTAATAAAGTATATTAAAAAAACAAAACAAATAAGACAAAAAATACAACAAAGAATAAAGACTCAAACTGCATTTAAAAAATATATATATATTAAATAAAGTTTTTAAAAATTACCTTCCTTTTTCTGCTTTTTAATAGAGTTTGTAAATTCTGCTTGGTTTTAATGGAACTAGTCTACCTAACTAGTCTACCTAATGGATATGGTTCAGTCAGTCTGCCCTACTGCAGGGCAGAGTCATTGGTAGTTACAAGACACAGTTATTTATGTTGGTTTTCTGAAAATAGGATACTTCTTTCTTTTGACTCTTATATCGGAATGAAAGGTTTACTATTTGCATACTTTAATGCTTTCTTTGTTTATCCATTATAGTCGAAGCTGCTGGAGGAAAGGCCTTACCGTGTATTGTTGATGTGAGAGATGAACAGCAAATCAGTGATGCAGTGGAGAATGCAGTCAAGAAATTTGGAGGTAGTGCCTTAATTCTTATTGACTGTTCATAAAATATAGGTCTAACCATAATTTTAATTAAACTATTCTGTTTCTCTGAGTCTTTGGAGTATAACCAGAAATGAGTATTGTTCATGTAGAAATGAAGCTTAAAAACTATCTGATGAATATTTTTGATTTGGTAAGAATTTTTTTGAATAATATAACAAGTCTACCATCTAGTATAAAGCTAGGACCTTGACAGTTACTGACATCTAATCAAAACTAGTTCCGTAGATCCCATTTTTTTGCCTCTCTTCAATTAACATAATCATATGTTACATTTGAAAGGACTATGTAGAAGATTCAGGAATTATCATATGAATGAGTTACCAAAACAAACTTGATCTACTCTGGTGATTTGCCTGGAATTGAAACTCTGGATCTTTTCTCTTTTCCCGGTTCCCAAGACCAGAAAGGAGCTCTTTTATTTAGTAAGGGCCTTAGGAGGGAGGGAGACCTGTGTGTTTGGAAGGAGGGCAGGCCTTGGCACGATGCTAGAGAGGAGGGGCAACGTTAGGGAAGTTAACGAACGTAGGGTCTTATAAACAAGAAGCAATGACCAGGGGAGGTAAGAGAACAGAAAAGAATGGAAGCCACAAAGCCTCCTTGTAGTTCCACATGGAGCTCTGGTGATTGGCAGTCTCCGTGGAGCCAGTGAAAATCATTTTGGTGTTTGTGACATCACTGCTTAGTCTCATATTGGTGTATTGGTTAGTCATTTTCTCCAAAAGAAGTATTTGTGAGCCAACTTAGGGTTCAGTTATACAGAGTAAATGTTTTTAATTTATTTTTTGATACAAAGTTTGAATTATATTAATAGGAACTTGATTTTCTGAAAACAGGAATTGATATCTTGGTGAATAATGCCAGTGCTATTAGCTTGACCAATACTTTGGACACACCTATGAAGAAGGTGGATTTGATGATGAGTGTCAACACCAGAGGCACCTACCTTACGTAAGTTACAGAGTTGTCGGGAAGAATGTTGTAATGTTTGCTCCAAGAACTAGTTGTGAACAGATTTGAATCAGATTAGCAATACAGTTTAAAATGTAGTCAAGCACAGACTTGCTTGTCTGCCTTATATGTATCTGTCTTACATGTATATATAGATCAGATAGTTAGGACCTTGGGCTTTAAAGTCAGACTCCTTTGAGTGGGATTCAACTCCTGTCCACCACCCTTCATGACTTGCTATCTGATAACTGTAACTAAACCTCTTTATAGATTCTGTTTCCTCATTTGTAAGGATTGGTCATGAGGGTTAAATGTAAAGTTTGTTGTTCTGGACTTTGTCCTCAGACATGTTTTATTGGACCAGCAAAACTTGGCTCTGACAATGCTAAAAAATTCATTTTTATAATTATCTACATTAAAAATTTCATTAGCCTAGCTGCTGTGGCTCAGTGGATTGAGTAGTAGCCTGCAAATCAAAGGGCGGCTTGTTCAATTCCCAGTCAGGGCACATGCCTGTGTTGCAGGCCAGGTCCCCAGTAGGTAGCATAGGACCACACATTGTTTCTGTCCCTCTCTTTCTTTCTCCCTTCCCCTCTCTAAAAATAAATTTAAAAATCTTAAAAATATTTTTCATTAGTTTCCTACATGAATAAAAGCAGGAGATTTAGACAAAACCCCAGCTTCCAGGCCTTTTTAAAAAATCTGGCCACATAGAGACAGCATTCCCACGTGACTACAGCCAGTATAGCTGATAGAAGGATATCAACAGCCGCATTCTATAGAGCATGAGCTCCATTGTGTTCCAGATGCTGAGGATAGGCTAAAACATTGCCATTTATTGTTACATTTGCACTGTTGTTCTTCTTAAAGAGGAAAGTAAAATATTTCTCATACCCACTTCTCTTACCTGAAGTGGGAAAATGAGACATATACCAAGAAGGCCCATACGTTCAGGTGAGGGAGAGCCTCCTTCTTTGTAGATGGGGCGTGTGTCTGTAACTTCAGTGTGTAAGGTGTATCTCTATTGAATGGAAAACACAGTGAGTCCAACCATAGTAAGAACTACGGCAAACATATAGAAAAGATAGTGATGAGAAACTTAATGTACTACGAAAAGGACCACTATTTCAACAGGGTTTGTGTTCATTTTCACGAAAAGGAAGCAGCGCTGCTGTGCTGCACACTCGTATGTTACATGAAGAACTGGTCTGGGCATCATATTCCTTTACAGCTGGTAACTTTGGGGAATAATTTTGATTGAATATAAACACTTAAACAAGTGTTTAAACATATAAATCTAGCCAGGAATACTGTTGCTCAATACATTGAATTAAAGTTGATAAGCACATGGTTTGTGAAAAAGTTCAGCTGTACGTGGTAGTTTCTATTGTAGATGCTGATGCCACAGATAGAAATATTCCACCCACCTAGTTATGTGTAGTGTCAGGAGAATTTTGGTATGATTAAAAATTTAATCGTAGGTACTGTGGACATGAACATGAGGAAATGTTAAATACTGAGAATTATCTTTGGAAGTTTAGTGTAGATTTGTAAAAAATTAGTAATCATAACTATAGGCAATGCTGCTGTAATAGTGTTAACTTTACACTTTTTGAAAACTTAAGTATTGTAGAAATGTTTCATAGAGATTGAGAAAGTGTTCATTTTGTTTTAAAGATTTTATTTTATTTTTAGACAGAGGGGAGAGGAGGGAGAAAGAGAGACAGAGAAACACCAATGTGTGGTTGACACTTACGTGCCCCCTTCTGGGGACCTGGCCTGCAGCCCTGACATGTACCCCGACTGGGGATTGAACTAGGGACCCTTTGGTTTGAAGGCCGGCACTCAATCCACTGAGCCACACCAGCCAGGGCTATTTGTTCATTCTTTTGTTCACTAGATACAAAGATACAAGAAAAGTGTCTTGCTAAAAAGTAAAAAATGGGCTGTGTTGTGAATTCTAAGTACCAACTACACGTACTCTGTGGTTTGAAACACAGACAGTTACTCATATTGAATACAAACACATGACAGGATTGTGTAAACATATTGTATTGTTGAAGAAATTGACTCTGTTTGCCACCCAAGAGAAAATTCCCAGTTCAGTTCCCAAAGATTGGGTCAAAGATGTGACCTTTTTTGCTGACATGACTTTTTGTAAACACAAATGCATGATTCTTATTGTTCATTTCTTGTGAAATTATGTCTTTGGAAGACCCATTTGGCAAGAATAATCTGGACCCTTATCTATACTGAGGTCATTTTCCAAAAATGAAAATGATAGCCTAAATTATATTTCTATAGTTGTAGATTTGAAGTTGCAGTTTAAAACAAAATAAAACATAACAAAATGTGATTTCAAACTGTATTATAAGGAACTAACCTTCTTCACTTCCCTTTCTCAGTGAATACTATTTGTATAGTTGAAGAACTACAAATGGAATGTATCAGCTGTAGGACAGTTAGGTACCAAAAACATGAACATGTTGGAAAAACAGGGCTACAAATACCTTGGGATAGATAGATAGCCTAAAATAAAAACCCTTTCTAAAAACAAAGATTCTGTTTACTGTTAAAAGGTCCTACATTTATGAACAGCTGTTATTTAAATAAAACTAAATATTGCTCCCAGGTAAAGGGAGCAATATTGCAATGCCAAATCAAAGAGCTGACATTAAAACCTTTGGACCAAAGGAGAGAGGTCTCAGGTCGTTGGTCTTACGAAAGGTCTAAGTTATGAAAGAGAAATTCATAATGAGACAGTTCCATTTTAATTTTTGTTTTGTTTTTTATTTGGTGACACTCATTTATTCATTTAAGATAATTATAGATTGTTTTATCAGGGAAGCTTGAGAAGCATTCTCAGGAGATAGTGGGCTAAGGCCCAAAGAACTGACCTATTCGGAGGTTTTGGCAAGAATCTGGAACAGTTTCCTTATTCCTGTTGCCCAGGGACCCTAGGGCCTGTGACTTGTATTTTAGTGGTTTAGGGGGTTGGAAGGCAGAGGTGAGGACAAGGTAGGCCCTTAATTTTTATTTTTAAGTTTTAGTTAAATGTATAATCTCCAGTAGTATATGTATTTGTTATTATGTTAGATGCTTATGGAAATTCAGTGATGAGTTTGTAATTCTGAACAGTTGATTTTTCCTATACCTAGCTCACTTTATTTATTGACTCAAATATGCTATAGGCATTTGAGCTTACAATAAGTTTTCAATAAACTTATTAAGCTGAAGGTATTAGTATCTAAGCATGGCACTAAGAGTTTTCATATAATGTATCAGACAGGGCATATTAACTATAGGAAAATGCGCCTGATTTGGGATTTTTGATGGTGAGAGCCAGCAGAAGTGTGGGTAGAAGGCTTTGTCTAACAGATCAAAGGAGAAGCTCGTGTTTCTAGTGTAAATACAATGAACTTTTTCCTTTGAATGTCAGATATGGTCTTACTGCTCAGAATAGATTCGGGTTGTTTCCTAGTGATGATCTGAGGTACACTTCACTGTTGTAATGGCTGGTGGCTCTAATACTGTTTGCCCCTCTCCACTTCAACCTCATACCAGGGAAGCACTTTTGGAAAGGAATAATATATACAAACCCCTTAGCAATATTGATTGTATTTGATTTATAAACTCGAAAACCCATTGCTGATGGTAACAAGAACACTGTACATTTGATAGCAGGAAAACTGACTTAAAAGAAGAATGGATAAGTTTAAAGACCTAGAAGTTGCGGGATGTACAATAAAACTAAAAGCTATAAAATTATAGTTATACTATGTTAAGCTTTAACATGTTGTAGCTTAATAATGAAAAAATTTAAAATATTATACCTGATTTTCCTATAAAATAAATTGTACTATGAACAGTACTATACTATAAACACTATTTTTAAAAAATAAAACTGAATATTGCCCCCAAAGTCATACTGCTCTGCATATTGGTGCAAATTGAATTTGGGAATGTATGGGGAGTTATGTTATTAAACTACGATTCCAGCACAGTAGGAATACCACACTACCGAGAGGAAGTAAGTCAGCCTAAATCATACCAATAATAGCAGCTGTTCATTTCACACTTAGTGTATGCACTGTTTTAAATATCTCATATGTATTTCATTTTAAACCCTTGATTCACCCTAAGTGACCAGGTATTACCAGCACTTGCAAATGAGAGAACCGAGAAGTAGAATGCTGTGTGTTTTTCCCAGGATTACACAAGGAAGGAGCAGAGGGAGGATTTGAACCCAGGTTTATCTGACTCAAATACCCATGTTCTTTACCACAGTACAAGCGGTGTTATCTGACAAGTACATTAATTGTTACTGAAAACTGTGTGTGGGTGTATATTGGAGAAAGAGAATTTGGAGAATATAGTTGAGACTAATGTAACAAGGATTTTATTATTATCATCAAGCAGAGTATGCTGTCAGGCCATTAAGCAAAGTTTCAAGGGTGAAAATTAATTGCTTTACCTGTGTTCATTTTAGAAGAGTAAAAACAAAGCTACAGGAAGAGTGAAAAGTGCCCTACAGATTACTGCATAAATTCACTTGTTCCTTGGAAGTAGTTTAAAATATAACTTTAAAAAGTGGGGCAGTTGTTAGAAAGCTATTAATTTGACTTGTGTTTTCTTTTGTTTTCAGGTCTAAAGTATGTATTCCTTATTTGAAAAAAAGTAAAATTGCTCATATCCTCAATCTCAGTCCACCACTGAACCTAAATCCACTGTGGTTCAAACAGCACTGTGGTAGGTGGTAGGTGGAGGGGATGGTATGTTCATTTGTTTTGTATTAGATCAGTGTATCTATCATGTAATCATCAATGTACATACAGTATTCAGCATTACATTTTCTATGAAAAATTAGCATTTTAGAAAGTAGATCCTTTTTTTTTTTAAGATTCTATTTATTTATCTTTAGAGGGGAAGGGAAGGAGAGAAGGAGAGAAACATCAACGTATGGTTGCCTCTCATATGTCCCCTGCCCCAGCAGGGGGGACTGGCCTGCAACCTGGGCATGTGCCCTGACTGGGAATTGAACTATGATCCTTTGGTTCACAAGCCCATGCTCAATCCACTGAGCTACACCAGCCAGGGCAGAAAGTAGATTCTTAATCTTTTGTCTGTAATTATACAGTTGAGGTATAATTTATATTCAGTAAAATGCACAGATCTTTGTGGTTCATTTTGATGAGTTTTGAGAGACTTATACACCTGTAAACCAACATCCAGATCAAGATATGCATTTCCATTATCCCGGAAAGATCCTTCAAGTTCCAATGGATGTATTTTATTTTTTCTAAAATATATTTTATTGATTATGTCCTCACAGTTGTTCTACTCCCCCCTTCATTCCCCTCCACCCTGAACACCCCCTCCCCCACCACCCCCCCCCTTTAGTTTATGACCACGTGTCTCAAGTTCTTTAGATTCTATATTTCCCCTACTATTCTGGCCCTCCCCCCTATCTATTTTCTACCTACCGTCTATGCTACTTATTTTCTGTACCTTCTTCCCCCTTTTTCCCATTCCACTATTGCTAACCCTCCATGTGATCTTCATTTCTATGGTTCTGCTCCTGATCTAGCTGTCTTCTTAGTTTGCTTTTGTTTTAGATGTCGTTCTTAATAACTGTGAGTTTGCTGTCCTTTCACTGTTGATCTTTTTTATCTTCTTTTTTTCTAGGTAAGTCCCTTTAACATTTCATATAATAAGGGGTTGGTGATGATGAACCCTTTGAATTTGACCTCATCTGAGAAGCACTTTATCTGCCCTTCCATTCTAAATGAAAGCTGTGCTGGATAGAGCAATCTTGGATGTAGGTCTTTGGATTTCATGACTTGGAATACTTCTTTCCAGCCCCTTCTTGCCTGTAAGGTCTCTTTTGAGAAATCAGCTGACAGTCTGATGGGAACTCCTTTGTAGGTGACTGTCCCTTTATCTCTTGCTGCTTCTAGGATTCTCTCCTTCATTTGAATCTTGGCTAATGTAATGACGATGTGCCTTGGTGTGTTCCTTCTTGGGTCCAACTTCTTTGGTACTCTCTGAGCTTCCTGGATTTCCTGGAAGTCTATTTCCTTTTCCAGATTGGGGAAGTTCTCCTTTATTATTTGTTCAAATAAGTTTTCCACTTGTTGCTCTTCCTCTTTTTCTTCTGGTACCCCTATAATTCAGATGTTGGAATGTTTAAAGATGTCCTGGAGGTTCCTAAGCCTCTCCTCATTTTTTTGAATTCTTGTTTCTTCATCCTTTTCTGATTGGATGTTTCTTTCTTCCTTCTGGTCCACTCCTTTGATTTGAGTCCCAGTTTCCTTTCCATTACTATTGGTTTCCTGTGCATTTCCCTTCATTTCAATTAGTTTAGCCTTCATATGTTCCTCTAATTTGTGACTAAAATCAACCAGTTCTGTGAGCATCCTGATCACCAGTGTTTTGAACTGTGCATCTGAAAGTTTGGCTATTTCTTGGTCGCTTAGAGTTATGGGCTCTGGGGCTTTGAGTTCTTTTTGAGCCATATTTTGGTCTGTTTGCGCCTGTTACATACGAGGAGCAGAGCCTTAGATGTTCACCAGGGCGGGCCACCCAGGTCGCTGAGTTGTGATGCTGTAAGTGGGGGCGGTGTCAAAGGGTGGCAAGGGTGGCCCCCTCTGCTGCTTCCCACAGCTGGGGCCTGCTCGGTCTGTCTCACTGCTCATTCCTTCGCTGGTTTATCTGCGCTCAAATGTGTGACCAAGATCAGTCTGCCGCCTTGCACCCTCTGTGGGTCCGCCCATTGCTACTCCACACCTGGGATCCGCCATGGCTGCCTGCACGTCTGGGTTGCATGCCTGGGTCAGTTTGGTGGATCTTTCCTGCCCGACCCTGCTCTGCTGCTGGCTTCTCCCCTCTTACTGGTCTGGCCGAAAGGTTTGTTGTTGTCGGACTTCAGTATAGTTCAATTTTCTGTGTTTTGGCTGCGTATTTTGTTACTAAAACTTTGTTGTCTTTAAACTTGGTTGTGCGAGAAGGTACAGTGTTGCCACCTACGCCTCCATCTTGGCGGAAGTCCTCAGATGTATTTTATTGAATGTAACTTGTCCTTCAATAAAATTGGTTAAAAACTATCCATGAAATACTTAACCATTCACAGCGAACTAATGATTTAATGTGAGTATATAACAAGAGTTAAATAACAAGATTTATGTAATGTGCCTCATTTAAAATAGTTGTATCAGAGATCTAGTCCTTATTTCACATAGCAAGACTGAAAGTTCTGTTTTCATTGATGAGGTCAAATGAGTTTGCAACATTTAATTGTTGTTTCTTTACTAGTAGCAGTTTCGTTTTAAATGACCAGTTTCATTCTTTAAAAGGCAAAGAAGCAGCTTAAGAAACAATAATATAACTTATCTCAATATTATTAAGGAAAATGAAAGTTTATTACTGTCTCTTCTGATAAAATATTAAGATGGAAGTATTTAAAAGTAGCTCATCCTTGTTCAGCTATGTCCATAAAACTGTTTTTTAAAAAATTTTAAAAATTGGAGAACCATCAGAAATTGACTAAATGGAAGTCCTTCAACTATGAAAGTAAAGAAGAAAGCACATAGAGACTGGTAGGAGGGACAGAGATGGGGAATGGGTTGGTCCTACATTCACAGGTGGCAGATAAAAATCAGGAGGAATATCTAAGAAGTAAAAGGTCCAGCCCCACGTGAAGGCCCCCAGCCCAGGGTTCCAGTGCCAGGAAACTAAATCTCCCTAACTTCTAGCTGTAAAAACCAGCAGGGATTGAGGCTGTGGAAGATAGAAACTGCTAGAACCCCAGTAGTTCCTCTTGAAGAGCCCATGCACATACTTCCTTGGGACTTACTCCCTCTGAACTCCAGTGCCAGGGTAGCACATTGAGAGGCATCAGAAATATGCAGAGTGGAACTAAATTGTCTGGCATCAGGGCAAGAGCTGGAGGACAGCTTTTTCCCAGACAGAAGTGCTAGCAGAGACCATTTTTCCTTTTCTGAGCTCTTCCCTCACAGAGCCAGCAGGCAGGCACCGTATCTGAGATTCTGTCAACCTAGCTAACACTGTTTGCCTCTTGCTGATGATTCCCACCCACTTTTCAGGCCCACCTAAGCTGTTTCCAGTGGCTTTTCCATATGAATTGCTTGCATTGGCCCATGCTTCAGATTTTCCTAACTTCTCTCAAACAAAGCATTTGGTTTCAGTGAGCCCCATACTTCTTACTAAGTTGCTCCAAGCCCGGCATTAGCAGCAACTAGCCTTTGTTCAAAGTCTGACCTCTTTTGTGTACCTCCAAGCAGCCATCTGCAGCTTGCTTTCTAGCTAATGCTGTGTGACCCTGGACAGAACACATTCAGTGGCTGACCTTGGTTATGTCAACAGCAGTCAAGGCTCAACTGTAAAAGGGCTCACACAGTGGGCCCACCTTGAATACCCAGCTTGGGTAATAGAGGCTGTGCCATTGGACCCTACCAGACATCTGCTACATTAAGCCACGCTATCAAGCCTGGGAATTGTAGTAGCTCTACCTAATACACAGAAACACACAGGGAGGCTGCCAAAATGAGGAAACAAAGAAACATGGCCCAAATGAAAAAACAGAACAAAACTCCAGAAAAAAAAAAAACTAAACTAAATGGAAATAATTTATCAGATACAGAATTCAAAATCCTAATTATAAGGATGATCAAGGAACTTAGTGAGAACCTCAGCAGCCTAAAAAAAATCCAGTCAGAAACAGAGGATACACTAGTTGAAATAAAGAACAATTTACAGGGTAACAACATAGGGTAGTTAAAGTTGAGAATCAAATCAATGATTTGGAACATAAGGAAGGAAAAAGCAACCAATCAAAACAACAAGAAAAAAGAATTCAAAAAACTTTCAAGAGGTCCAACATTTGCATCATAGGGGTTCCAGAGAGAGAAGAGAAAGAGCAAAAGATTGGAAGTCTGTTTGAAAAAATAGTGAAAGAAAACTTCCCTAATTTGGTGAAATAAATAGATATGCAAGTCCAGGGAGCAAGGAGAGTCCCAAACAAGATGGATGCAAAGAGGCCTACTTATAAGATATAATTAAAATATCAAAATTTAAAGATAAAGAATCATTAAAGAGCAGCAAGAGAAAAGCAGTTAGTTACATATAGGGGAGTTCCCATATAAGACTGTCAGCTGATTTCTCAAAAGAAATGAGAAATTAGTGTGGGCTAGAAAGGATTGGCAAGAAATAATCAAAGTCATGAAAAGCAGGGACATACATCCAAGATTGCTTTACCCAGCAAAGATATAATTTAGAATGGAAGGACAGATAAAGAGCTTCTCAGACAAGAAAAAAACTAAAGGAGTTCATCATCACCAAACCATTATTCTTTGAAATGTTAAAGGGGCAATAACATACTTGTCAATAATTGAATCTTAAAAACAAAATAAACAAGCAGAACAGAAACAGAATCATAAATATAGAGTACATTTTGATGGTTACTAGCTGGGAGGGGTAGTGGGGATTAAGAAATACAAATTGGTGGTTACAGAATAGTCATGGGGATGTAAAGTACAGCATAGGGAATAGAGTAGCCAAGGTACATATCCGATATGCAGGACCCATGGGTATGGACAGTGGTGTGGGGATTGCCTGAGGGAGTAGGGGTGCTGGGTAGAGAGGGACAAAGGAAAATTTGGGACATCTGCAACAGCGTAAACAATAAATTATAATTTTTCAAAAAGTATATATTTTAAATATTATTAAAGAATTCTAGCCCTGGCTGGTGTGGCTCAGTGGATTGAGCACTGGCCTACAAACCAAAGGGTCACCAGTTCCATTCCCAGTCAGGGCATGTGCCTGGGTTGCTTTCCAGGTCCCCAGTAGCAGGTGCAATGTGTGGTTTAGGTAACCACACACTGATGTTTCTCTCTCTCTCTCTCTTTCTCCCTCCCTTCCCCTCTCAAAATAAGTAAAATCTTCAAAAATAAAAAAAAATAAATTCTAAAAAGAGTATCCTGAAGAAAATAGTAATGGAAATAAATTGATTATTTATATTTACAAATTTATTTTTTTAATTTTTATTTCTTAATTAAATATTTTGTGTTTTTTTCAGCCTATACCATTGCTAAGTATGGTATGTCTATGTGTGTGCTTGGAATGGCAGAAGAATTTAAAGGTGAAGTTGCAGTCAACGCATTATGGCCTAAAACAGGTATATACTTAAAAAAAATTATTTTTGGATTCTCCTTTATTGTTCTGTTTTTTAAATTTCTGTAAGAGTTTATTTGAACCAAACTGACAACATATGCTGGGGAGCAGGATCTCAAATGCTCTTGTCATTTATTGTTCTTGACATTTGAGATGCAGCTTGGGTGAGCAAGGTAGGGTAGGCATGAGTAGGCTATCAAAGGTAACCTCAGTCTTTGGGAACCAAAGTCTGTATTGTATATCTCCTAGCTTTGACATGGACTGTATGACTGACTTAGGCAGACTGCTATACTTGGAATACTGAACACTGGAACTCTTGGAGAGTTTCACTGATGCCACCGGGAAGCCAACTGCATCCTCATCTTGGTACCTTACTGAATTCTGCAGATTCTCATGCTTTTGTTTTCTCCTCATACATCCCAACAAATGCTTCTACTTTCTTATAGTACTTCCTTTGTCTTTTTCATTTATAAAAAGCTGATTCATGTGAATTATGTGTACTTTCACATGAATTCTAAGTCCACAGAGTGCCTAGACCTCCTTTACATGATGGAAGAACCTGTATATGGCTAGATTGTGTATGCAGCTTTAGAATTCATGTGTGGCAGATATTGATGGCCTGGGAATATGCTGTGTACAAATGAGGGAGATCCAGCAAAACTGACAGAAAGGTAAAGTTTGTCCTTCTTGTGGGTTCCTACACTCCACTTACATAAAATATCTAGCTTAAAGGAGGAAAAAGACCATCTTTTCCCTATACTTTTTTTCATATATTTAACAGATAATGCTTGTGAAAACCTTAAGTTTTTTCACTTAAAAATAAATGGCAATCCTATGCCAGAAAAGTGTGTTTAATGATCAAGAGAATACATAATGGGAACCACTTTTTCATTTCACTTTTTAAGAATTTAACAGAACCTTTATTATACTAACACAGAACTTAAACACCTAAGTTAGTGTGGCCTCATTCCAAGAGAACTCCGTAGGGATCAATCATGGTGTTTCTGCTCTGGGAACTGCTATGGCACACAGATACTTATTGCACGAATGAACGAAAGCCTTGGCTTCCTTTTGAAAGAATCCCTATATTCTTCATTACATTCCTTGAAACATACAGATGGCAACTGAAATATTGCCCACTGATGCAGGCTCCGACCAGCGGTGTCTGTGGTGTTGTGGATGTGACGAACAAATTCACACGGACTGCAGAAGTCCTGTGGAGGAAAGGGACAGCGTGGCCACTCTCTGAGTGAGAGAGCACCGACCTCTGCCTGGACAGGATTTTATTGCTTTCTGGGAGCATTACATCAAAGAAGGTTCTCATTCATTATGCTTAGGTTTGCTTTAGGTGATTACTTCTTACAGATAACAAAGAAAAGGATGTTGCAAATGCAAGGGAAAAAGTGGTTGAACTGGTTATGCTTGTCCTTGGGAAGTTTAGCACAGACTTTGGGAAATTACTTCAAAGATATGCATTAAACATTAAGTGCCTTAACTCAGGGTGAGGCAGTTTTAGCAAAAGCGAACCTCATAGCAGCCTAGATATAATGCAGGCCTGGTTACCCAGGGGAAAGCTGATCTGTGGGCCTGGCTCCTGTGTGCCACCTCACATCTGTCCATTTTCCAAACCACGGCTGAGTCGCCATTGCCATGTGGACTGGTTCCCTATAGTCTATTTATTTGAGGGTAGAGGGGTTTCTGGTAGGGTGACTATTGAAAGCCATGTCCTTGCTGTCCTCCCTTTCTAACCAGCCACAAACTCCCCTGAGAGGAGCAGATGTTGGGGTGGCAGACAGACAGGATTTTGAAGGAATGAGCAAAGCACTGATTCTATAAGAGACACAGGTGAGAAGCTTGTGAAGGACTTGGTTTTCTTCTGGTCCAGAGGACAGGACAGGACCAGCACTGGAAAGAGAATAAGTACTCAGAAATTCCTGGAAATAAGCTCAACCCATGGAGATACGAGGACTCAACAGGGTGATTCAACAGGTCAGATAAGTATTCCCTACCCTTGAGGCTGGGACAGTGAGGGAACCAAAGAGCCTTATTTAGGTCCCCAGATGGATTCAGTGACTGGTACATCTGATATGTCACCTACCCATGGGGCAGAGACTGCTGCGCTTGCCACTGCTGGCAGGATGGCCGCCATTTAAATGGCTAAGGGTGAATAGAGCAATAAGACAAAAGAGTGCAGTGCAGCTGATGTCCAGCACAGAAAGACTAAGCCACAGTCCCAGAAGAGCAGCTTTCAGTGAAGTAAAACTGCTAAAGAAAACAGAAAATACCTTGTTTAAATAAATATACCTACTTAAGAGATTGAATTATAGCATGAAAAATGATTTATTGAAACTATACAGAGATGTGTTTTAATTAAAATAATAGTACAGTATTTGAATTGAAGAATGGAATGGTCACTGTTAGCACATGTATAAGTAGCTTACAAGTTCAAGTACAAGAGATATCTCAGAGGAAAAACACTGTGAAGAAAATGAAAAAAGATTTAGGGACCATGACAGGCAAATATCAGGAATCCCAGGAGGAGGATAAAGAACAAATAGAGGAGAAACAATAATAGAACTAAAAACGGAAAACAATTCCCTTAAGCTGAAGAAAGACTTTAGTGTGCAGATTAAAATTTTTACCAAGTTTAAGGTTGAATTTATTGGGAAGAAAAGACACCTGGGAGAATCTCAGAATTTTAAGGATAAAAGAAAATCTAACAGGCTTTCCAGGATAATATGTTACAAAGAAAAAAACATTGCAGACTCATTGTCTGCAACACCAGAAACTAGAAGTCAGTGGAATAACATCTATAGATTACCGATAAGAAGGTATCCAATCAAGATAATATTTATTGACAAGATGAAAAGAAGATAGGGCTATGTGCAAGGATATCACATTTGACAAAAATTATAAGTGCTTTTAACCAAATCAGTCCATCAGAAAAGAGACTTCTAAATAGAGGGAAATGAAGAGTGGAAATAATTTCTAGCAAGTAACCCTGTAATTTGTATGGTTAGATGTAAACGAGTTGTGATAGAATCACTGGGAATATGAAATATAAGTACCAAATAACTTGATGTAGGAGAGATACTATAAGACGAAACTTGAAGATTAGTCTTTAACCAAAAGCATTAATCTGTCTTTTCAAAACTGAGAAGGGGCAGGGGAAAATGTGGAAGTAATTGAATTATATAGGGCTCATATGAGCATGGAAAAGTGGCGAAAGAAAAGTATGGTTTTTAGCTCTTTCTGACTGACTTACTTCACTTAGCATAAATTCTCAAGTTCCATCCGTGTTGTTGCAAATGGCAGTATTTCATCTTTTCTCATAGCTGAGTAGTAGTCCACTGTGTGTACGTACATCTTCTTCGTTCAATTCTCTATTGAAGGACACTTGGTTGTCTCTGTCTTGGCCACCGTGAATTTTGTTTCAGTGAACAAAGGGGTGCATATATATATTTGAGAATGCATACTTTCGAGTTTCTCGGGTAGATACCCAGGAGAGGGATTGCTTGGTCATATGGTAACTATTATCAATTATTTTAGGAACTGCCAGACTATTTTCCATAGTGGCTCTACCAGTCTATATTCTTACCAGCAGTGAAGGAGAGTTCCCTTTTCTTCACAACCTCTTCACACTTATCACTTCTTGTGTTGATAATAGCCATTCCAACAAGTGTGAGGTGGTATCTCATGGTAGTTATGATTTGCATCTCCCTAATAGTTAGTGAGGTTGAGCATCTTTTCATACGTCTATTCACCAATTGTATGTCTTCTTGGGAGAGGTATCTGTTTAGAACCCCTGCCAATTTTTCTTTTTTTTTAAACAAATTTAATATATTTTATTGATTATACTATTACATTTGTTCCATTTTCCCCCCCTTTATTCCCCTCTGCCCTGCACACCCCCTCCCATCCACATCCTCCCACTTTAGTTCATGTCCATGGGTCATACATATAAGTTCTTTGGCTTCTACATTTCCTATACTGTTCTTAACCTCCCCCTGTCTATTTTCTACCTATCATTTATGCTACTTATTCTCTGTACCTTTTCCCCCTCTCTCCTTCTCCTACCCCACTGCTGATAACTCTCCATAGGATCTCCATTTCTGTGATTCTGTTCCTGTTCTAGTTATTTGCTTATTTTGTTTCTGTTTTTTGTTTTAGGTGTGGTGGTTAATAATTGTGAGTTTGCTGTCATTTTACTGTTCATATTTTTTTATGTTCTTTTTTTAAGATACATCCCTTTAACATTTCATATAATAAGGGCTTGGTGGTGATAAATTCTTTTAACTTGACCTTATCTGAGAAGCACTTTATCTGCCTTTCCATTCTAAATGAAAGCTTTGCTGGATAGAGTAATCTTGGATGTAGGTCCTTGCCTTCATGACTTTGGATACTTCTTTCCAGTCCCTTCTTGCCTGCAAGGTTTAAGAAATCAGCTGATAGTCTTACGGAAACTCCTTTGTAGGTAACTGTCTCCTTTTCTCTTGCTGCTTTTAAGATTGTCTCCTCTTTAATCTTGGATAATGTAATTATGATGTGCCTTGGTATGTTCCTTCTTGGGTCCAAATTTTTTGGGACTCTCTGAGCTTCTGGACTTCCTGGAAGTCTATTTTTTTTGCCAAATTGGGGAAGTTTTCCTCATTATTTGTTCAAATAAGTTTTCAATTTGTTGCTCTTCCTCTTCTCCTTCTGGTACCCATATGATTTGGATGTTGGAACATTTAAGGATGTTCTGGAGGTTTCTAAGCCTCTTCTCATTTTTTTGAATTCTTGTTTCTTCATTCTTTTCTGGTTTACTGTTTAATTCTTTCTTCTGGTCTACACTGTTGATTTGAGTCCCAGTTTCCTTCCCGTCACTGTTGGTTCCCTGTACATTTTCTTTTATTTCACTTAGTCTTCATTTTTTCATCAAATTTGTGACCATTTTCAACCAATTCTGTGAGCATCCTGATTACCAGTGTTTTGAACTGTATATCTGATATGTTGGTTCTCTCT